GATCTGAAGCGGCAAACCCTGGGCTACCGAGAAGTGGAACGTGCATACTTAACCACTGCACCACCGGGCCAGTCCCCCAGCTCTTATTTCTTTGAATGAGCTTTCTGCTCCATTCTCCTCCTCGTCTCCCTCTGGAATACCTGTAATCCTTATGTTGCATTTCCTAATTGAATTGGATGTTTCTTGGAGAATTTCTTCATTTCTTTTTAGTCTTAGCTCGCTCTCCTCCATCTGAAGCATTTCTATTTCTGTCCTCCAGACTGCTGATTCATTCCTCCCTAATATCAGCTCTGTTGTTCAAGGAGTCCAGATTCTTCTTCATCTCATCCATTGTGTCTTTCATCTCCAACATTTCTGATTGGTTTTTCTTTATAGTTTCAATCTCTTTTGTGAAGAAGTTCCTGATTTCATTGAACTGTCTGTCTGTACTTTCTTGTAACTCATTGAGTTTTTTTGTGATAGCTGTTTTCACTTCTCTGTCATTTAGATTATACATTTCTGTGCCTTCAGGATTGATTTCTGCATGCTTGTCATTTTCCTTCTGGTCTGGAGAATTATTTTTTCAGACTATTTGACAGCGTGGATTTGTGCCTTTGTGTACTTATAGTATCTGGTTGCAGCTTCTACCTGCCATGACTGGGTGGGGTCAGAAGCTCTGTATTCTGAGCCCATGACAATCCACAGCTCCTTCGCTCCAGCTGCTGGCTGCTTTTCTGTCTGTGCTGGCTCTGGCCAACTGCTGAGCTGTGATGCCAGGCTGGGGGTCAGGGCTGTCTTGGCATGTGCAATCCTGGGGGTGTTCTTGCTCTGCCCTCACTATCTCCTCTCCTGGGGTGCTGGCTCAATAAAGACACCCCTGCGACAGCTTAGCCATGCCTGTGTGGGGCTTTCCCTCAGGCTCTGGGGGAACTTGGAGAGCAAGGGTGTTCCCATGGAGGGCTGCCCCACCCCCTCTTTTCTCAGAGCCGCGTGGTCCTGCACCCAGGGTCGCTGCCCTTGGGGGAGGGAGAGGAGATCCCTTTCCTCCTTCCACTTCGTCTTGGGGTCCAGCACCTCCACCGTCAGACGTGTGGCTGTGTGGGTCTCTCAGACGTCTTTGTGTTGTGTGCATGTCCTCTGTTGGTGTATGAATGTCCTTTTTGTTGTATCTTAGGGGAGAGAGGCTAAGGGGAGAGAGCATTCCGCCATGATGCTGGTGTCACTCCCTGTCTTGTGTGTCTTTTGATACTGCTAGGTTTTAATGTCACTTTACAATTAAAGGGACAAGTATTTTCCATACAAGTAGGGAATTTGGCATACTCACCACATATACTATCATGACAGCATAAGTCACTTAAAAATAGTTCATTTCCACTAAAACCGAGCCATATTTTTATCCCCTCTTGTACCAATTTTATTCCTTTGGTTCTTAGGCACTTTTTTTAAACTTACTTTTTCCTTGTCTGTTAACTAAATTGAAAGTTTCTTCAGAGAAAAGATTCCTTATCAAATTTGTTCAGTATGTTTTTAGATGCCTCTATTCTCTTGTGCTCGTGGGCTCTTAATAAAGAATTGTTGAATTAACGCATTTCCAGTGAGTCAGTAAGGTTTTGGTCATAAAAGCCCATGCAAAGCTTTTATCTGATGGACTGCAGGCTTAGGGTTAGACGAGGCTCGTGGGGCCTCACTCAGCAGGATGTGGTAGTGGCCTTGACTGACAGCCACCGTGAGTCCTGCCTTTCATGTGTCATCCTGAGAAACCTCAGGGACTTAGAGATTTCATTTTGGAAGGACATAAAGCACAAGCTGAGGCTGAACTTCCCCTGTCAGTTTCACTGATGGAGACGAGTGCTGAAGAAGACAGGTGTCGTCTTTCGTGAAGGGCTGTGAAGTGGGGCAGATGATTATCGTTCTGGAATGGGCTGAGTGGAGCTCTGCTGGAGGCTGAAGTGAACCAGATGGATGGGTGTCACTCTGTGTCCGTCAGGATTGGATTTCCAGCCCCAGGCCCACGCTGGGTTAGTGGGTTGGGATAAGGCCTACCCAGGCATCTGGGTTTAATGACTCACCAGAGGACTTGGATTTTTTCATCTGTTTATCTTTAAGATCTGATACGTGAGTACTTGTCAACTACTATGACCATTAGTTCAGAATGGAAACTACTTTTAAATATAGTTCATCATATAACTGACTTAATACCCAATTTGGCAGTATCTCTTTTTCATTCCTTAGGAACCAGAGTCTCGCTCAGTGTCTAGTTTAAACTGAAGGAATTGATGTTAAAACATCTCTTTCCATCTGAGACTCTTATTAATTACAGCTTCTGGGTTTATTGGAACGTCTGCTGCTGCCAGGAGATCGTTTGGGGCCTTCAGGATGTATAAGCTTCTGCACTTTGTGAGAAGAGCTGCTAGAAGGGTGCCCAGCCCTGGGTCTCCTCTCCCATTGTCTCCTTTGTGGAGAGGACTAAAGGTGACCCATGGTAACCCTGCGTCCCCTGGTCTTCCCAGAGGCTTTCCTGCAGGTGGCACTTTGCAGACTCCAGTGCACTTTATTTGTGATTATCTCTGCGTGGGTTGTGAGCCCTCTGCAGGAAGGACTTTGGTGTTTGTAGTAGGTGACAGCCTGGTTAGAGAGAGGATTTTACGTTTATAAGTAAGATAGAAGAAAGAGGGCATTTTATCCATGCAGATTTCTAAGTCCTGCCTTTTTCTGACTAGCACTTAGACCTAACTGTGTTATTCATGTTTGCAAGTTGACATTTTGTAACTGCTTAATGAAAACAGTGGATTATACCTTGAAAATGACAGTCAAATCCGTGTAGGTTACTCTTCCAGTGTGTTATGGTGAGAAAAACAACTTTGTTTTTCTGAGTTGCTGCCCAGGCCTTTTACAGCTTGACAGCCCTGCTTGCATGTTCTGGACGCTTGGACAGGGACCTGGGCTTAGGGTTCCCACACGCCTGTGCTGTGCCTTTCCCAGGGCACCTTTTAAAATAACCACTTCAGAGTTAAGTTGGTGAAAAGTTAGTGACCTTACCCCAGCCACCTTAGGAGGAGTAGGTGCTTGCCACCCTGCTCTCGTGGCCTGGGTAGGGTACTGTCCTCCCCCGCCGCTGTGCCCCCTCCCTTCCGGGGTCTGTGAGTAACTGATCTTGTGCTTCCTTTGTTTGAGTGCAGTGAAACTGCACCTTGGATCCAACGACCCTGTAGGCTTCGCTTTCCCAGAGCGGTAGCTGGGATGCTGAGGGAGCCTGGCTGCTGAGGCCCTGTGTGGGTGGCTTGTGCCCCTCATTCGGCAGGTCGTAGTCTGCACATTCTTCCTTCAGTCCGCCAGCTCCAGCTTCTGAGTGCAGTTTGTGGCCAGAATTTGGAGACTGGCCTGTTCTCTGTTTTGATGTGGTTTTGCACATATGATATGTTCTCTTCTGTAACAATTTATAAAGTAATGGTGAAGCTACTTGTAAAAGTACAGTTATAACATCAACTTGAAGCTTGGCTCCAGGGTAAGTGGCAGATGGTGTGGGCCAGGACACCTGTGGCAGTATTTGACTTGCCATCATCAGCCCAAGATTAAATCCACTTCACAGAGGTGGGGTTTTGTTGTGTTTTGTTTTGCTATCTTTATCCTCGGTCTAGGAAGGCATTTTGCTCTAGAAGATGGCCTGGTGTGAAGCTGTTAAGTTGCCCTGTGTTGTAGTCCTGCGGGGCAGTTTTCCTGTCTCGCCTCCCTGAGTAGATGGAATATGGAGGCAGAGTCGGCAACTGAAAAAGAATGAAATTCACTGTAGCTTGGAGTAAGAAGGGAGCAGACGGTCAATAAAGTTAGAGCAGATCCCTGGTGGGCTCCCCACGCTGGATATTGGGGCCACCTTCCTGTAGTTCAGCCTAGCAGAAATGTGGAGAGTCGGAATTGGATGGAAATTGTGTAAATAGAATTCTAAACTACTTGATAGTCCACAGAAACAGAGTAGTAGAAGAAAGAACCTAATTTTGGGGGTGACAGTCTCCTAGAAGTGCTGAGTATCTTACTGTTTTAGATCGTTAAGTAATTTTCTGCAATCTTTCATAGAAGGCGTGCATCCATCCTGTCTGCTCCTGTAGAAAATGTTCAGTTGTCTTTCTCCTTTACCTTGATTTTCGATCTAAATTTTTGTTGTACACTATCATGGTGGATAAAATTCTGAGGGACAGAATAACATTCAAATTCCTCAGCATGTCTTCAAGGGGGTGCCATGTGCCCTCTCCCCCGCCAAGCACCCTCTCCCCACCCCGCCGTGCGCCCTCTTCCCCCACACCCCTGCCCCGTGTGCCCTCTCCACACTCACTGCCCTCTCCCGATAGTCACCCCGCCGTGCGCCCTCCACACACACACACACACACACCCGTCATCCTGCACACCCGGGTCTCTGGGTCAGTGGCCCCTGCCCACTCTGAGTGGAATGTTGTCTGTGATGATTTACTCCTGTCCTGTGCTTCCTGAACGGTGTGAGCACATGCCCACTCTGAGTGGAATGTTGTCTGTAGTGATTTACTCCTGTCCTGTGCTTCCTGAACGGTGTGAGCACATGCCCACTCTGAGTGGAATGTTGTCTGTGATGATTTACTCCTGTCCTGTGCTTCCTGAACGGTGTGAGCACATGCCCACTCTGAGTGGAATGTTGTCTGTAGTGATTTACTCCTGTCCTGTGCTTCCTGAACGGTGTGAGCACATGCCCACTCTGAGTGGAATGCGGTCTGTAGTGATTTACTCCTGTCCTGTACTTCCTGAACGGTGTGAGCACATGCCCACTCTGAGTGGAATGCGGTCTGTAGTGATTTACTCCTGTCCTGTACTTCCTGAACGGTGTGGGCACATGCCATTCTTGGTGATTGAGAAATTGTGTTCTCCGGTGCTTTTTAGGACAGTCTGCTGGGGTCCGCAGTGAGCTCAGCAGGGTTTGTAGCTCCTGGCAGCTCTAGGGACCCAGGACTTTGCTGGCCTTCCTGTGGGGCATGATTCATTCCCATTTGTCCCTCCAGAGACACGCTGTGAGCAAGATAGACCTTCCCCGACACCAACGCCGCCAGTGACCCCCCACCCTTCACCATCCCCTACGCCTGAGAGCCCCTCAGTGAACAAGTACAACGTGAGTGGCACCAACGGGACCTGTCTGCTGGCCACCATGGGGCTGCAGCTGAACATCACTTACGAGAACAGGGACAACATGGTAGGCTGGGCTCTGAGGAGTCCTTTCTCTCTCTGTGTTGGCGTGTTGGTGCGCATGAGCATTGGGGTGGGCACGCATGTGTAGTCTCCTAGATGTGGACTGTAGGGAGCAGGTCAGTGTGCCTGTGTCTGTCACAGCCATCCCACCTGTCCACACACTATGGCACTTCTCTCTGACTCAGCAGCATTGAGGCGTTGTGATGGAGACGTCACGTGGTCCACAAAGCCTAAGGCGTGTGTTGTTTGGCACTTTAAGGGACAAGTTTGTTGACCCCTGAAAGAACATGAAATTTTGCTCCAACATTTAAGTGTTGTTTTTGTACTTCTCCTTTGAGATAATATTTCTCCCTACTGATGACAGAGTCTGTGGGGCTGTGGCAGGTAACTCACTTGTGTTGCATGTAAAGTCTGTGGCCATTGGAGGACGGGGTCAGAATGGGGCTGGGATCTGCACCTTTCCTACAGGGACGTGTCCTTCTGAGAGTAGCAAGCAGAAGTAGCTGGACAAGCAGTTTTGGAACCAGAAATCCACACTAGGATAAACTTCTAATGTTTTCCTTCTGGTTTCGGTCAAAATGAACGTGGCCTTGATGTTACTGCTTTAGGATTCTTTGTTTTTTCCAAAGTGGGGAGGACTTGGCATGAGATGGAATGGTAACTTGTTTTTGTCTCTTTCTTAGACTGTGACAAGAGTATTCAATATCAACCCAAATAAGACCCGTGTCAATGGGAGCTGCACTGCCCAACTGGTGACCCTGGAGCTCCGGGACGAGGATGTCACTCTCCTTGTCTTCCACTTTGGAATGGTGAGGGCCCATGTTCCTTTGTCACTTGGGGGCTTCCGTGTCAGCCCTGCCTGGCGTCTTAGCGTGCGCCTGACCTGGTTTTCTTTTGACTGTTTTCTCGTGCGCTTGGTGCCATGTGGCCACAGTGGCGAAGCTGAGTATGTGGTGCACAAGCCGGGGTGAAGGTCGGACACAGGTCCTGAACCCACAGCTCTGCCTTAGGCAGGAGGAGTCTTTTCTCTGCCTTCCTCTGTCAGTCTTTTTGGGCCCTCTGCTCCCCCCCCTTTTTTGTTAACAAATGCCTGCGTTTGTTTATTCAGCATTCATCAGGCCGTGCCTACTGGGTACCCGACAGCCACTGTTAGCACCACCTGTCTGTAGTCAGCGTGGCTGCCGAGAGGGAAGAGGGACTTCAGGGCGGGCGCTCAGCTTGGCCTCCTGCCTCATGTGGTCCCTGCCCCTTTACTGAGGAGCAGTGTCTCTGTGTCCTGTGCCTTCTTGTTTTCTTACCTGCCTCGGCAGAATCATATGTAACGTTAGCGAAATATGGGAAGAATGGAAATGTCACTCATGAATATTTGTAATACACTATGCAAATGAACTGATTAACAGTTGGGTTTCTCCTAATAAAGTTTAACTTTCAGAATATTTATTGAACTTTTTAGGAAAAGGTTTTCTTTTTACAATACAACTCCTTCAATCCCCATTTTAGCAGAGAATCTGATTCTGTAGAATGGTTTGGAAGGAACTAATCAAAATTTGTTCATGAGAGTTATGCGATGCCTTTTACAGACAGGATACTCTGGTTTTATTCTAAAGCTAGAACTATGGGAGGTCAAATTTATTACCAAATGAGCCTTCAAGTTTGACAGTAAAAATCTGAGTGGTTATAAGGACTGTCTTCTTCTTTTTAAGAATGCAACTTCTAGCCAGTTTTTCCTGCAAGAAATCCAGTTGGATATGACTCTTCCTGACGCCAGAGGTAAGACTCCCACAATTCACGTGCCCGTCCAGGTGCTCCGTGGCACTCACTCTCACGTGCCTTTGCAGACCCCACCTTCAAGGCTGCCAACAGCTCGCTGAGGGCACTTCAGGCCACCATCGGGAACTCCTACAGGTGTAATGCCGAGGAGCGCCTGCGCGTCACAGAGGCCCTTTCTGTCAACGTCTTCAGAGTGTGGGTTCAGGCTTTCCAGGTGGAAGGTGACAAGTTTGGGTCCGGTGAGTAGCATCAAGGGCAGCATTTCAGACTTGCACAGGCTCCGACAGGCTATGGTTCTGTTTGGATATTGAACAGCTTGTGTGTGGGAGGTGGGGGTGGGGGTCCCCTTTCCCAGTCTATGATTTTTAGAGCAAGTTCTTCCTGCGCCACTTCACTGTCGAAAGGGCCAGCAAATGCATGTCAGCTTTGAGCACAGGTGATCGTTTTAAGAAGTAGTGTGGCTCCACCCCTGTGAAAGCAGTCAGTGTTCCAGAAGGGCCCAGGGGCCTGGACTGCACGCCGACTGGCCACATCTGTAACTTCCCAGCCATGTGGAAAGCCCCGTCTCTATAGGGGCTTCTCCGTGTGCTAGCTGATTGGAATTGGAGCCCCTTCCTCAGTTAATCCTCCCCTGCTGGGCTGTGGGAAGGAGGAGGAGGCAGAGGCCAGTCTGTCTGGTCCATGTGGTGACAGCCGAGTGAGCACAGGTCCCTCTGTCTCCACAGTGGAGGAATGCCAGCTGGATGAGAACAACATGATGATCCCCATCGCCGTGGGCGGTGCCCTGGCCGGGCTGGTCCTCATCGTCCTCATTGCCTACCTCATCGGCAGGAAGAGGAGCCACGCGGGCTACCAGACAATTTAGCGCTGCCGCACCACAGACCAGCAGCGGCTGCAGGCCCGCCGTTCGTTTCCCTGAGCTCAGACTGGTTGAGGGAGGCACACTTGCCTGCACACGATTTCCAAATCTGCTTTATCCAATTTGAAGTTCATCTTGCAACATTTACTATGCACAAAAGAGTAACTATTGAAATGACGGTGTTAATTTTGCTAACTGGGTTAAATATTTTGCTAACTGGTTAAATGTTAATATTTACCAAAGTAGAACTCTAAGAAGGGGTGGGTAAGAGGGCTTTTCAAGGGGCACTGGCTCCATATCATTTGGCTTTCTAAGATTCTGGTGTTTGGTCTCTTCACTCTTGATTCAGATCTAAGCCTTACAAAGGGAGAGTCTCTGATCTTAACACTTAGGACTGATGAAAGCTGGCTAATATTAGGCTGATGTGCTTAAGGGATTAGTAGAGAAAGAAAATTGCAAAACAGAAGTACTCCAAAAGACGGAAATCTGGAATGCTTAAATTAAGCTTTAGAAGCCAGGACAGGCCCCGCCCCCATGGGCTGCACACCTCAGCCATCAAGTATCAGAGCTACTGCTGGGGTCTGCCATGCAAGAGCTGGCACTTTTTTAAATAGCAAACTGGGTGTTATTTTTATTTACTTCTTTGTAAAGTGGTTTTCGGTCTTCTGTTTGAGGTTCAGGTGGTCCTGCGTCTGCACTTGTTTGTGTACAGTGATCGCTCTCACTCTGATTTACTGCTTGCAGCTCAGCGGCCTGGGCACTGAGGACCCTCCTGTGTGCAATGCCGTAACAATGCTAATAAAGTGTCTCTTTCTCTTTTTGTCTGGACCCAGCCCTTTTGTCCACTCGTGGTGAGCGGTTGCAATGGGACGAAGGGTGGGTGGTGGTGTGTGAGCTGGGGGCAGCAGCCACAGGTGGGCACTGCCCGTCACCCTGCTTTCAGGAGAGCTGACGTTGTAGCCAGTCTTTGGGGTGGTGACTCGAGAGTGTGAGTGGTGTCTTAAGGTCAGTTGTGAGTTGTGACCGTGAGAACGAGGAGGGAGGGGGAAGGGCCACGTGGCTCCCACACAGCACTGTCGGGGGTCCTGGGCTCAGCGCTGGAGGAGGAGCCTCCCCTGGTCCTCAGGAGGCAGCAGCTCGGAGCTCCAGAGCAGGGGCTTGAGCTGGAGCTTGCTTTAATCTTTCCTCTGAGGGCCTGTGGGCTGAGGGCCCTGGGACTGGGCTGTCCCTGACTGCCGTCCACACACTCGAACCCCAGGGCCTGCCCCGGAATCTGCTTTCCACATGGGACCTGGCAGTCGGCCTCCAGATGCCGGGTGGAGATCTGCTATAGAGCTGAGTGGCCCCGTGTGGCTCTTACTTTGTGGCAGTCCTTTTTGAATCGAGCACAGCAGAGTGGGGCCGTGTGAGGAGTTCAAGGTGGGCAGGCCTGCGGTCTCAGGCAGTGTGCGAGCTCTGGACCGCAGGGCAGGGTTCACGGCTCTCGGCAGCAGCGTGATCACAGGCGTCAGAAGGCTCAGATTTTAGTCTCCCCAGTCTGGGCAGTCCAGACACTTTATGCCTGGGCCAGAGCTGAGGGAAAATGGCACCCGGCCTGTCATGCTGGGGTCAGGTCTTTGCAGGTGTGGCATTTGTACATCATCAAAGTTAGGAGAACATTAGAAAAGTAGCAGGTTCTGCATGGAGGGGTGAAGTTTCCAGACGGAGTGCTGTGGCACCGAGGGCTTGGTGCCTGGGCCAGTGATGGGGGTGGTGCCCTAGAGGTGCAGCTGTTCATGTTTCAAGAAGGGGAGCCTTTCTTACTTCGAGGTCCTTCCAGGGAGAGCCCCACTGACTGTTTATCAGCTACAGCCCCAAGTCGTTCAGTCTGGGGTGAGTGCTGCGCAGTTCCTGGGGCAAGGGGCTTGGGGCCACATGACTAGCATCCAAGTGTCAGGACTAGGAGTTCCGAGGTCCCTCTGGACAGTTGTGCCAGCCCCATGGTGGGAGGTGACCACTGGGAAGCAGGTGTGCTCCTTGCTGGACACACCAGGCTTGTGAGAATTTGGGGTGAAAGCGAGGACTGGGAGCGCCTGAGTCAGCCTGCGGGCACCAGTGGCCCCATGCACTCCGCTGTACCATGAGGCTGGCCTCGACGGCCTCCCCCAGCTCTGGCGACCCGCTCAGGCCACCCTTTCCTGCTACATGATCATCCGCAGGTGGGTTGAGATGTTAGTATGCTGTTTGGGTCCCAGTCCGGCTTCATCAGCGCAGAGCCGCAGCTGAAGGTGAGGACAGCCCAGGCTGCTGCTGTCGGTGGCACAGCTGCCAGCACCCAGGTGCCCATACCTGCTCTTCCTTTGGGGCAAGACACCGTGGTAGCAGGGTGCTGACACGCAACCACAGCCCAGTGGATGGGGACGGGGGTTTGTAAATGGAAGGATGATTTGGAGAAACCCAGGGTGTGTACAGGGCAGGTGAGCTTGGGGCTGCTTCGGGGGACGGGTGGGCAAGCTGCCCTGAGTGTGCCCCTCCTGGCCAGCGTGTCCCCACCTGGGCCTGTGTGTCCCCTGCAGGGCTCAGGTTTCTCAGCCAGCCCGAGGCAGCACCACCGACAGGGTGGGATGTTTGGGGCCTCCAGCCCTGAGAGGACGTCCTGCTGGGGGAGGAGGGGTCTTCTGCCTCCAGGGCCAGGATGCAGTGCTGCGTGGAGCATGCGTGGGCCGAACCAGACGCCTGCCATTCCCTGGACCTCACGCACGCATGTGACAGAAACCTAAAAAACCATCTTTAAAAATTTCCTTTCTACCCAGAGATAAAACCACACATCTATGGACAGCTAATCTTCGACAAAGGAGCAGAGGGCCTACAATGGAGAAAAGAAAGTCTCTTCAACAAATGGTGCTGGGAAAACTGGACAGCCACATGCAAAAGATTGAAAAGTGACCATTCTTTTTCACCACACACCAAAATAAACTCAAAATGGATCAAAGACCTAAAGATTAGGCCTGAAACAATAAGTCTTCTGGAAGAGAATATAGGCAGTACACTCTTTGACATCAGTTTCAAAAGAATCTTTTCGGACACTATAACTCCTCAGTTGAGGGAAACAATAGAAAGAATAAACAAATGGGACTTCATCAGACTAAAGAGCTTCTTCAAGGCAAGGGAAAACAGGATTGAAACAAAAAAACAGCTCACTAATTGGGAAAAAATATTTACAAGCCACTTATCCGACAAAGGGTTAATCTCCATAATATACAAAGAACTCACACGGCTTAACAACAAAAAAACAAACAACCCAATCAAAAAATGGGCAGAGGACATGAACAGACATTTCTCAAAAGAAGATATGAATATGGCCAATAGACACATGAAAAGATGTTCATCATCGCTAATCATCAGGGAAATGCAAATCAAAACTACACTAAGATATCACCTTACACCCGTTAGAATGGCAAAAACATCCAAAACCAAGAGTGACAAATGTTGGAGAGGTTGTGGAGAAAAAGGCACCCTCATACACTGTTGGTGGGAATGCAAACTGGTACAGCCACTATGGAAATCAGGATGGAGATTTCTCAAAAAGTTAAAAATAGAAATACCCTATGACCCAGCCATCCCATTACTGGGTATCTATCCTAAGAACCTGAAATCAGCAATTCCAAGAGTTCCATGCACCCCTATGTTCATTGCAGCATTATTTACAATAGCCAAGACGTGAAACCAACCTAAGTGCCCAGCAACTGATGATTGGATAAAGAAGATATGGTATATATACACAGTGGAATACTACTCAGCCATAAAAAAAAGACAAAATTGGCCCATTAGCAGCAACGTGGATGGACCTCGAGGGTATTATGTTAAGCGAAATAAGCCAGTCAGAGAAAGATGAACTCTATATGACTCCACTCATAGGTGGAAGTTAGTGTATTGACAAGGAGATCTGATCGGTGGTTACCAGGGAAAAGGGGGGGGTGGGGGGAGGGCACAAAGGGGGAAGTGGGGTACCCACAACATGACTAACAATAATGTACAACTGAAATCTCACAAGGTTGTAATCTATCATAACATTAATGAAAAAAAAAAAAATTTCCTTTCTAAAGAGGAGTCACTTGCTATGTGCACAGACCTCGCCCAAAGGTTAACAAACGCCACAGAGAGGAAGTAAGAACACTGACAGCAGCTCACTGCTTTGGTTTTAACTTTGAATCCACTGAGAAGCCGATAATCACAAACTCATAGGTGTTGACATACTTTATTAAATACAAACACGCATCTCACATTTTATATATTATCCATGTTTCAGGTAAAAATATATTTTTAGAAATTCATGACTTCATAGCTCATAAAGAGTTACAGAATGACAATTTTAAATCGGTCTTATAAAAATTTCACAACTCCAGTGTGGACACATTGACTATGTACAGGACTTTGAGACGAGTGGTAGAAACTGGTCAGTGCAGGAGGCGCTCGTCACCCCTGCGCCAGCAGCTTGGCCCTGCAGCGCTCCCGGAGCCTGGTGATGGTGCTCGTGGACAAGCTGCCCGGCTCGGAGAAGATCTTCTGGGACAGAAATGGAGTGAGTTTAAGAACAAACCAGCCAACAACACACTTTTACCTTAGCTGTCCCCTGTTCAACACTAGACTGTGGCAGACAGACAGACCAAAGACGCCCGAGTCCCCAGCCGGGTGGACACCCCCAGTTTGCTGTGTCCCGTTCCTGCCCTGGGGGCCCAGGGCTGCAGGTTGGCTGCCTGACAGTATTAAACCAATCACCTGAATGAAGAAAAGGTCACCTGTTTCCTTTATACCCTTTTCAAAATCAAAGAGTGGGACTGCGACACAATAACGAGTACCCACCACAGACACCACTCAGAGGGGAGCCGCCAGACCCTCCCACACAGCCCCAGGAGGGCCCCGGCCCCACACACGCAGCCATCCGTTTTAGCAGCAGGCCCCAAAGGCCAGCTGGCGGGAGGGGAGCCACCGCGGGGCTTGAGTGTCTCGTTACCTCCACCAGCAGCAAGGCTAGACCCTGCACAGCCACACAGACATTCGCTCATGAACGAGAGCTGTGAAGCGCTGGATCATGTTCTGAAACGCCTCACAGGAGCGGCACGCGCCACTCCAACTGTGCGGACACATCGTTTGGTCTTCAGTCAACGGTGAGGGACATCCCACAGCACAGAGGGCGCGAAGGGAGCTCTGGACACGGGCGTGTACCCGTTCAGGCAAGCGTTCGTTCCAGGCAAGCATGAACATGAGGCAGGACCTCGCTGTGTAGCAGGTCCCAGCGGCTGTCTTCTCGGATGCTCTGATGTTCGCGCAGTGAGCAAACACGACCTGTGCTCTTCTGTGGCCACGTTTCCTTGCCCCCTTTTGCACTTTTAAAAGTTTTGAATCAAATCCATAAAGTAAACATGTCAGATTCTGAAGTCATGGGCTCCAAGCCCTTGGAATTAAAATCAGGTAGCATCTTGTCCAATTTCTGTTTTAGTTGTTTTTTTTATTGTAGTAAAACCCACATACTATAAATTTACCATCTTCACCATTTCTAAGTGTGCAGTTCAGCAAGCTTAACTATTCACACTGCTGTGTATCAGATCTCCACAAGTCTTCCATCTCCCCAAACGGAAACTTTCCCCGCTAAACCCTGAGTCCCCATCCCTCAGCCCCCGGCACCACCATCTACTCTGTCTCTGAACTGGGCTCCTCTCTGTCCCTCGTGTAAGTGGAACCCTACAGCATTTGTCTTTTGTGACTGGCTTGTGTCAGCATAATGTCGAGGTTCCGCCATGTTGTGCCTGTGTTGGAATTCCCTTCCTCTATAAAAATGCTGAGTAACG